GAAATGATAAATTAACATTTGGCATACTATAGGGGGAACAATATTGCCTAATTCAAATTCGTACCGCCAAAGTTATTGGTATTGAAAAATGTAATTAATATATATATGTGTGTGTGTGTATAATATGTCTATAATCAATGCTAGAATTAATGGGTTTAAATAAAAATGTGATTGTGCTACCTTTTAAAATGTTATACATAAAATATGTTAACATGAATAATTTTAATTGTTACAATGTAACTTTCATTAAATAATATATATCGATCGTGTGTAAAGTTCAATTATGTTTATCTTATTAATTTTGCTCTATCGGATTTTCCGCTTACATTTATAATCTAAATTATTCGTTTAAATGTATATACAAATATTATAAATGTAATCTTGCTAAAAACTATTGTTGTTGTCTTTGACAGGCAATAGAAATGTACCGACCTCTTAACGATATTTGTTTAACGTGTATGACAACAGCTGTATTAGTGTTGCTGATTTTTTTTTAGCAAATAATATTTCTATAATAATATCTCTATTCAGTTTCGTGTACGTCGTTTATATCTGTTAGAAATATGTATAAGCTTACCTGACCAGTGTTAATACACCATTGATTTAGCCCAACGCAACCGTTTGAATGTAAACGTTGCAGATGCAGTAAACGACAGTGCACACGAGCCATGGCACGTTATGGTCAGTGACAATGATAGATGCATCTCATTTAAATATCTTGAACGAGCTCCAGACGTCTGCGAGCTCTTTAATATCACTGTGTGTTCCGGATCCTAACGGCCATTATATTGTTATTGTTATTATTTTGTATACAAGTCTGACACGACAATGGGTTTGCTTGTGTAATCCGTCTTATAAAAAAAAAAACACGCACAATTTTTATTTTATTTTTTATGCTTAATCCGAACAATGTATAATAATTATCGCGTTTAATCCGTTGGAAACGCAAACGAACGGCACGGCGTGATACTTGTATGCTAAAACGCGATTTTAATAGGATCTATTTTGAGTCTTTCCTTTCTTAGCACCTCGCCCCTTAACGATATTATTATAAACGAACGTTCATTATACGAGGCCGTTTTAGACGCTAGAATAACAAGTCGTATTTCTATATTATACAATGTATATATAGTAGTCGCATATGAAATATAATTGTATAAGCGTATGCGTTAGTCCAGGTGCAATTTATTATCCGACCTAGGAAAATGTGTAATGAATATTTGTGTGCGGTTTCGGTGCATGCCGTGTTTTATCGGGTGTAAAACGAGAGGGTTCTCGTGAGCTAGTATTTCATGTAGTTGGAAAAATATAAGTATGGATGAAAAGAAACAAAAAATATCCGTACCCAAACAGTGCAAAATAGAAAAAAAAATATTAAAAAAAAAATTCGTTTGCGCTGTACCACACTTTTCTGTACAGGTATAGACATCTAGATTATTAAAATAAAACCTTAGATGATACAGCCAATTAAATAAATTTAAACAACCAAAAAAAAAAAAGATATTTAATTATACGTTTTCAATATTATTAATTCAAATTCTAAAAATCATTTGTATTTACCTACATAAAAATTAAAAATACATTACTTTTTTTTACCAAAACAATAGCTGTTGTTCAATTCAATATAACTTTAAATGCTCCTTTGCGTGTATAACGATACGTTTGTCTAATTAATAATTATTTGAAATATTACAATATATCCAGAATTAATTATCCAATGGTCAAAAATATGTATTGTATTTACAAGTCACAAAAGCATGATGCATATAAAGTGCCGTTAATTATATTAAAAACATGAATAAACCATTGATAGTTAAAAAACTTTTTTAGTCTCGTTGAAACTTCGGCTAACTACTTAAAGTCAGCTTTTCTGACTCTCAAAATTAACAACATAAAAAGTATCCTGACGCAACATCAGTACATACAACACTTCCATTATTGAATATTTATGTGTATAAAAAAGTCGACGTCAAAGTTAAAAAGCTAGTAACAGGGTTTTTAACGCTGTCATACCGTTTAAAAATAATTGTATTTCCACAAAATGTCTTTGAGAATTCAAACGGTAAAAAATGTAAAAAAAAAAGAATGGTGTATTTTTTTGACAACCTGCATAACAGTCGTGGCATATTAAACGGACTATAGTTACTCAGAAAAACTACTTTTATTAGGAAAACGTTATTTTCTTAAAGGGAACACCCGTAAAGCAAAACGAGTTTCTTACAGAAAAAAATATACTAGTTGAGAGATTTTTTTTATCAACAACGTTACTATAACGAGTACACACAATAAATAAAACGCTATAAAAATGTATTTACATGTAACATTGCATGTAATATTTTTTTTTGGAATACTTAATTATTGTTAACAGCTGTGAACAGGTAATAATTATCAAACAGCTAATAATTCCGTTTATTTCCAGATAGACGTTTTAATTTATATATATATATATATAAAAAAAGTTTAATCAAAGTTCACTGTCCGGATGTAAAGTAAATGGGTTTAAAACGACGATAAATGGCGCGTGTCAGATGAAAACATGTTTTGGCCGTTGGACAAATTTATCCAAAAGCAGAATGGCAGGCTGACCTAAACACACCCTATCTCGGTTTAGTTAATATACTGTACAGTGTACTACAGTGGTGGACATTCTCCTCTTCTTTTCATAGTGCACACCGCACACACACACACACACACAGGCATATAATCCCTATGAAATGCATCGTGACCCCTCCCCTCCCCTTCCCCTAGTGCCATAGCACGGAGCTAGTGTATTTTATTACTTTCACACAGAGCTCAGACAGTGGTTTTTATATAATTTATTACTGTGTTAATTTTCCTTATTTAACAGTTAATAACTGCAACGCTACGGTGGCAAGGCAATGCAACGACAATGGTAAACACATTTTTTTTTTTGCTGTATAATAATAATACATATATATATATATATATATACCATCCTCGAGCCTATGACGAAGGTTTAGAAAACGAGCTTACTGGTTTAAACGCCTGATGTTTTTTTTTTATAGTTTATTTAATCACACTCAAGTACCTAAAGGCGATGCGTTCAAGTTATTGTCGACTTTATGCTGAACGTTATAGAAACAATTAAATTAAGCTATTTATAATATCATTCGACAGTAAAACTTTATAAGTCTTTTATAAGTTAAAAAAATAATTTTTTTTTTTTCTCTTCACTAGAACTTGGTATGTATTGATCTTGTTTCATGTAGTGTATTTTTAATGTACGGCACTAGTACAAAAAGTAATAGTGTTAAATTCGATTCGAGCAAGTTAAAATTAGTTATAAAATAGAACAAGCCTAGTTCATACATCATTTTTAGTATATAACTTTACAAATAAGTGGTTATAATGACTGAATTAAATTTTAATATTTTTAAATAATTTTACAACTTATTATTTTTGACTTTTAGCAACCACGGATTAAATTAATTTTCATTTAATCTATATATCGATTATTTGTTACATAGTTATAATTTGGTTGTACCGAAAAAAAAAACATATTTATATTTTGGAAAACGCTTAGTTACATTAAGTTATTTTATTAATTTTTTTTTCCACAATTGATAGAGACTTAAATCTGCGCCTTTGTTTAATAATGATTATCCGTGTAGAGTATGCAGGACAACCCTATTTGATATTATTTAGCCGTTTGTCTGAATCGATTCCCAGATTTTTCTAGCCGAATAAAAGGCACTTTATCCGATTTGCTGTTTGCTTTGTTTTTGTTTTGCAGTCACCTCAAAAACGTACAATAAGTCAAAGACCATTGGTGTAATTGAATTAAATGTTATTTACATAATATTACAGTGTATTAGATGACAAACACGACTAGACGTCTCAATGTTTAGTGTTGTTTTCTGAAAAGGTAATTAATAATATGCATATATTAATCATACATTTCTATCATATGTATAGAATTTGACGGCCACCGAATTATCATCTTACTTGTCGAGATCAACTTAATCTTGAGTGGGTGGATATATTATATAGGTACCGAGTGATCATTAAATATGTATGAATAACATCAAATATTATGTCTGTCTACACCAAATAATGCGAGTTCAGTCAGCGGTTTCCGGTTGTCGAAAGATGTTTTGAATTTGACAAGTTAACCATTGCACAACTGATAATTTTATCTTGTACCTTAACTGGCGCTGTACGAAATGCAATACGGGTAAAGACAATTTCACCGAACACGTTTGTCAGTTTACACGCGGTGTTTGTCATACACAATTTAGCTATGTCACAATTTGTAAATATATATATCGGTTTTGCACGATTTGATAATATTTGCAAGTGCTGTGAATAATTTTCTATTATTATCTGCCATTCCGCTCCAACGCGATACGTTCGATACGTTATAATACATTGTAGCCTAACTTATAGTGATAATATTTACCGTCGAATAGAGACTACCCACACATTGTTTATACTGTACATATCCCCTGCTAATAGTTTACACTTTTCGAGGCGTTTATGATGATAGGGTTACAGCATCAAATTGTACATTATGCTGCGTTAACAATAACAAAACTAAATGATATAGATGGTTGAACGTTTCCGAGTTTTTTAACTTTAAAACAACTGCTCAAACTTCATTAAAAACTATCTAAAGTTTGTTTGGTTATTAACCAACACCATAAAACCCATCTACCCTTTTCTCTAGAGAGGAGTTCAAGTTGTTGTCTTTGTTCTTTGCTTTTAGGAGCTATATACACAGTAAATTTTAACCTAACAAGACATAATATTTTTTTTGTTTTACTTACAAATACATTGAATATGTTAATACTTAAGTTCTCTACGCGTATTTGTTTGTATTATTTTTTACAATAAAATGGTTTGGAAACAAGATAAACAAAATCTTAATGAGTACTTGTTGATAATATTTAAAATTTGATTTTAGTCTTTGTGATTTAAATGTATATGGTACGTCACAATATCCATTATTATGATTTATAAATACAATTTGTTTGTTTCAGGAAATCGCTGCTATACTAATCAACTTCGAAAGACACGGCGAATGGCAGTCAAAAGAAGTGAAAGTCAGGTAAGTTTTATTATGTCGGCTAACTCGAAATAAGAATATAACGTCGAACGAAACGCAAGTAAGTAGATGAACTCAAAAGAACTAGGTGAAATCAATAGCGTACTATGGCAATGACATGGTAGAGCAATGAGACAAAATCGCACGAGACTTGACTTGAAAAACTTATATTATTGGAAACGCATTAACTATATATTTTTAGAAACAGTGCTGAACTTAGATAACTAAAAATGTATCTGTAAAAGATTTTAAACGATCATTTATCGTTCATAGTTATTTTTTAATAATTACAAAAAGTGGAAAAAAAACTTGGAAATTACATCATGGGAATACTTAAGTTGTTTTTGTATAATATAGCGTTATAGTAAGAACAGATTCGGTGGTGTGCACAATATATGTGTATTTCATTCGGTAAATTTAAACTTCAGTTAATCTGTACTGTACTATACTATACTATAAAAATAGTAATTTTTGACCGTTAACATATTGCAACCCCCCTCGTCGTCTTTAAAGACGTTGGTGTCGAGACCTCCTAAATTGTAATGCTACAGTTTAATTTCTAGCCGAAACCTGTCATAGGGTCCTATCACTGGATAGCTTCCCTACTCATAGTCTACAAGTCATTTATTACATTTTTAGCATATTTTCTTATTGTATATTTTGTATGTACAGATGTAAATGTTATTTAAAAAAATGTAATTTAATTTAAAAAAAAACTTATTGCAACCGATTTTATTTAGTATTTGACACCTAGGATCTGTTTGGAATTGTGGCAGAAAAAGTATTTTCATGTCTCTGGAGATACGATTCGTTTTCCATGATCTCTTATACCTAGTCACGAGTCCATCGATTTTATTTTTTTAGTTTATTTTTGTTGTTGTGAAAGATTTTGTTTACGTTAAAATGTCCTTACGGAAAACACACAGTACACTATTTCTGTTGGATTAGCGTAGACATCTAAAAAGAAAATAATTATTGTGACTTTTAATTTACAGAGTTTACATTGAACAACAAAAATATTTGAAATTTTTAAATTTCTCATTTAAAACAAAATGTTTCTTCTATTTTAGAACTATTGTTGGATAGAGACCACGGTTATCTAGTATATAAGAGCCATACATAATAAGTGTTTCAATAATGTTTCGATTCGACTTGACCATTTTTTAACAATGCTGTTTTTCACTTCAAATACGACTCAGTATTAATAATGTCTACGATATGTGCACATTACACATGTATCACTCGCATAGGATTTCTGAATTCAGCACCATACATTTATGTATAACATGGGAAACTGAAGTTTATGCGTGTATAAGCACATAAACAATTTAAATCCTCAAAGAATGCCCTGTCGAGTTGTCCACAGACGAATATTAAAAATGATAAACAAGCGTTACCACGTCTGATCCGTCACTTTGTTACTCTGTTGGACATTATCAGATCGTTTAATAATTGACTTGATCACATTTCTTTGAAAAACGACACGACACGATGTACCTGACCTAAGTAAAGGGTTAGGGTAAACAGCCAATCGCCACTCTAGATTAACCATGTTTTCCCCGACAGCGGTTAATTTATAATTAACTTTTATAACAAACTAATACTTTATGGACAAATAAGATCCATGAGGCGGTCATCTAGTATAGTTCCATTAGATTGACTTGAATTATGCCTGTCACAATAATAAAATAGATAAATCAGTCACAGGTTTAACGATGGTTATGTAACAAATGTTTTCAGTGCTTAATCTATACCCTTTTTCTGTTATAAATATATTATTCATAATTTCATTTGTTTATACTGATAGTGTAAAATTATGGTTACATAAATGTTGTTGGGATATCATTATTAATAATTATCATGTGTCGTCTTTGAACGTTGCAGGGAGTCCTATAAGTATTTATTTATAACAACTTCATCTAACAGTAAATAAAGTTACAACATTTCTATAGTATATAGTATATATTTTAATTTGTATAGTATAATGCTTGTAGCTTGCATAATTTCTGATCCATGTTGGTACTGATTAAAAACAAGTCGGTCCAGTGGTTCTACATATACTATACTATATATAGAAACGCACATCATTGAAAATCTATCACCTTTTTTATGAGTAAAACATAAAAGCAAAAATAATTCTTCACAAAACGAATTAAATAAATATAACGTGTTGGTACTACTACGAATCTGTATGAGATTAAGGCGATTCTTTTTTCTTGAATATCTTATTTACTGATTATATAGCTATAATACACAGAAGTAACTTTTTCTGCTCTGCTATTAATTCCGTTTGGTTGTAGTCTCTACGTGATCATATCGTGTACAATGTTTTACTTTCGTTGAATATTAAACCCGTGTCTTCTTTAATGTTTTCTATAAGATCCAGTATTGTCGCTTTTAAGTTTGTTTCTGACTCTGCTTCAATATTAAATGCCATCTACATATGTAACTATGTGATTTGAGAGTTTTTTTGAATTTCAAGCTGTTTTCTGACTACATACTTGAATTTTATAATGAATAATAATACAAAGAATAGTGCACCACCTTGTCTTAATCCGGATTCTACACAAAATTGTTCCATTGTAACAATACATTGTTCTGCACAATAGTTATTCTAATTAGATTAGTTATTAAACGAGTTACATGGAACTAAAAGGGTTTAGTAACTCAACAGCCTTGAACGCATAATATTTTATTGTATTGATTGGAGCTTAAAAATAACATTAAATTATACCACATGAAAGCGTTCCTTTAATAAAGGACTTAATTCAATGACATTCTATTAAATCATTTCTAAGCGGTTTACATCAAGAAAAGTTGTTTATTTTTTGTAAAATCAACATTAAACCGCCAAAAAAATGTTAGGATTTAGTTTCAAGAGCTAATAACTTGAATAGCAACCATTTGGCACACATACATTTTGTTTCTCTTAGCAAGAAATTATTTTATCCAAAATACTTTTACTAAAAACATTTTTATTGGTATACTAAATGTGTCTGGAATCAACCCTTTCACTACTTTGATTTTTTTTTTAAATAAATTAAGGATATTTTTGTATTTATGGTATAATGAATTTAATATTGACATTTTAACGACAGACATTATTTTCTTGTCTGTGTAAACACCGGTAAAATACTAAAGGGTTCGAAACATTTCTTCATTGTTAATTTCAAGCTACTGAATATTAATAACAGACAAACGATATATAAAGTTTATTTTGTTTCTGATATCAAATACAAGTAAAACAGTATTCACTATTTTGTACATTTATACTTGGAGCTTCGATAGTTTGAGAGCTAAACGGTATAGATATTGAATTCCTTCGCATCGAATAATATTAATTAAACGAGTTTCAGATGTCAAACAGTTGACATTAGAGCAACGAAAACTTTGTCACTTCAATGGTCGATTTTGTTTGACAGCAAACAAAGTTCGTTCAATAATCCTGCATTAAAAATAACTGTTCTGATAAAAATTGTTATTGATTTAGAAAAAATGTATTTTACTTTTGGTCTCTTAGAAAATTACCCATTTCAAAGTATTTTAGCTAATACTATTTTGATTTATGTTTAAATAAAATTGTATACATGTTTATGTATTTGTGTTACCAAGGCTTACACATCGAAATATTAAGTTATTTAAAATATGTCAGATTGATAAAAAGTTTATAATATACTTTGGCTCAGGTGGCTTTTTAAAGATACCCAATTAGAATTATTTTAATTTAAAATGTCATCAAAACAATTGACTCAAGTACCATATTGTACCATAATAATTATTTCGGTAACGGCAAATGAAGAAAGAAATTGTTGGCTCATGGTAATTATTCTTCTTTTGCTTTTCTTAATAAACTGAATGGTATCTAATAATTATACTTGGATTTTATTCAATTAGTCTTGAATAGCTAACAACTATACGGTAAAAGTGTAATCGTTGAGTGGTTCCGTTTTGTAGTGCGTACGATGATAACAACAAAGCCGCGAAAAGTTTTGAAATCAAGTTTGCGAGTGGTATTGACGTTTCCAGGTTTCCTTTGGACTCTTGATTGAAAAGTTTTAGAATAGACGAATAATTGGATTGGCACCGCCAAGGCAGAAGAGCTTGAAAAATATGTTCAAGAATATTCAAATAACTGTATATACTGACATAGATGACGGTGAAATGACATATATATGAAAGCATATACACGACTTTTATAATTTTTAAGTAAAATTAATTCAAATAAATTTTAAACCTTAATGATAAAATGTTTGAAACATTTTTATTTTAATTATTGTCATGTGTATAATTAATATGCTTATTGTGCAAGAAAGTATAAAGTCTGTGATTTGGGATGCTAGGAAAGAGAGGAGAAATGACTAGAATCGAAAGTGAGTGCAATAGAAAAGAGAAAAAGAAAATACATTTTTTAGCCATTTTCTATAAGTAGTTGCATACTAAAAGTTAGCCAATTAGCAGCGCATTGTTGTATTCTAGAGCAATACATTTTCCTTCCTACGTTTATTAGTCTGAATGTCAGTGCCTAATTTAGACATAAGACAAAATCTCTTTAGGGCTGCTCCTTCTCATAAATTAAATAAATATCTCCCCAAATGTTTTTCTCTATTTATTATTTTAATACTAGATACTACTAGGAACTACTCCAATTTATAATAATACCGAATTCTTTTAAAAGGGTAGCAGCTATGTTGTAAAGTTTTGAACTGTATTCACACTGCAGGTTTTTTTTTAATAATTCACAAAAATAAAAATATAGATTGTAGTTGTTATTTTGAAATAAAACGAGTGTGAAGTAAAGTAAGTAACTTTTTAATTTGGAGGCCATAGGCGTGTGCTTATTTTTCTTAATGGAAAATATGTCTCTTTTGAAAGTAATAGCATGACTGATGTAGTATAGGTTTTTATGCACACAAATTAATGTGTATACACAAATGTCATTAAAATTTGTAATGCTTTTATATACCACCACCTGTTATCATTGTTGTCAGTTACAGTTAAGAACAATGATTACAGTTGGTGGTATATATGAATAGGCTTTTCCAATTTATCTTTGAGTTTCAAACGATAAGTGTAATTTACGTATGCCTACTTATTCTGAATAAATTTCAAACGCCTAAAAAAAAACGTTAGAAATGCGGTATTACTTTTATGCTTAACATTGGCAACTGAAATACACCTTTGCATAAGATATAAAAACAAAACGTTTGAAGTTTTGTTTTTGTGTGTGTATAAATGCATATACCCTGGCGTTAACCGGGTGCTTTTTTAGTAAGAGTCACAGACAAATTCTTGTACAAAGGTTAAAAATCGATAAGTCAAATGTTAAAATTGGCTGATGGGAATCTCGAAAATGCTCGCGAGGTACTACCATATGTTTTTAATAATCATAATAAAATAGAGCTTAATGGCATGACCCAAATACGATTCGTAAAGCACGCAGACCTTTAAAAATTAACTGTGGTTAAAAAAACGGTTTGAAGATTTAATCTTGTGTTTTTTATAGTTTTTATATTTATTATTAATACACAATTGATAACAAATTGAATCAACGTTTAAGTACCATATAATTACAGTATTATGTTTTAGTAATAATTATAAGATTTGATTATTTATCTGATATTTAATACTGTACAAAAAAATATAATAGATTTTCCATAACAATTTATTAATTTTAAGAATTTATACGAAATAAAAACTAAAAAAAAAAAAAATGTCAAATAAAATAAAATTACAAAGTCAGCCTCCAGGTTAAATGAAATGATTCTTTTAATGACACTAGACAATTTCAGAAAAGAGAAAAAGGATAGATGTCTATCAGATGGATAAAGACAATGAAATAGAATATCAGAAAAATATTTTCATTTAGATACAGAGTACAAAAATATAACCATTTTTGACTCGTGTCACTTGGTTATTAATCATTAAAAACAATATTTCTTAAAAAAGTATGCATAAAGGATGACATTCTCTAAAACTGAATTTACACGAATCGATGGATCCTAATATTTATAAGTCTTTAAAAATACAACACCAAGTCAAAATGTCTTAAGTACAACAATAAGTACTGAAAGAGAAAATCGATCAAATTTGAAATTCTTAATTATTATAAATTTATGAATTTGATTACTTTTTTCGTTTAACTTTGAATTTTTAATAACTTTTTTAGCAAATATTTTTAATTTAAATATAAATCAATCGTGTCAAAAATGAGTAATCATAAAATTCTAACATGGCTGATAAACTAACCTAATATATAATATATAAAAACCTGCCATGTTTAAAATGTCTATAGACAGAATAATTACAACTTTATAATAATAAACAGGTACTTTTAGAATGCCATAGTGATTATGAATTTAACAAATTACATTTTATGGTACATATGAATTGGTATTGCATTTTAAACATTTTTAGCATATAATTAAAAAAATATTGAAGTAATTAATACATTAAGAGAGCATTTATCCAACGTTCTACGTACCAAAAAGTACAAATTTAGTTTTATAATTTTATTTATTTACAAACAAAATTTAGTACACCTATATTTTTAAGGCTAATAGGTGTATACCGCTGACGGCAATAACTTATATTCGGTAGGTAACCTAGTAATAAAATGTGGTATTCCGTATTCATTTGTACTCATTTCAAAAACAGATGGCATTTTTAATGTTGCTTATGTAATTTAATATTTTTCATGAGTACTATTTTCTCGCGTGCCTTTTTTTTGCTAGCTCATAAATATGAACGGATATGTTTATATATCGTACTACATTTTGTATGCGTACCATATTTTTCTTCATAAACTACTATTTACAAAACTTTCGGATTAAAAAGGCCCACCTAGATAAAATTTCAAATTTAATTAACTAATATATTTGCTAATGTTGCCGAAAATACTTATAATACTTAGTAGTTTTGGTAACAGTGGCTATATATATATATTTCTACATATTATTAATAATAACTTGATTGAAACAATACAAAATATACATCATTTAAGTTATTTGATAACAATATTGCAACACCCTCTAAAAGCTAAACTTGTGCTAGGTGATAATGAAAGTTTGTCTTTAAATAACGCTCGAAAAAATACTACTTGAGAAATTAAATATTCAGTCAACAATTTTTTTAAATATAATTCCATTATGATGTTAATTACAATATAATATGTATAAGAAACAACGGCAATAAATTATTATAGACTGACGATATATTGATGTATATATTGATCTCTAAAAATACAATTTTAAGCACATTATTGTCATCACAATGCTTTCATAGACATTTTAAATCCTACCATCTACAGTTTATTATCAAAGCGTTTATTTAAAAGTGATTTTATCACTTTCAGTTTTAATAATTCCTGTAGACCTTTGACTTCCCCGCCTCAATAATATGCTATGTCGCTAATATGCCCCAACCCTACTGTATTGGCATTTTTGAAGCTATAGAAATTATATTTTGACTTAAAATTGAGAGTTGGTTTGATGAGAAGATGGTTTGTAGTTTAAATTTGTATTGTTTTTTCTGTGAATAATATCAAATTCAATAAAGTTTTTATGTTTCAGACCGAAAAGCGGTTCGATGTTATTGTACAGCAGGAAAAAGGTGCGGTACCGACGCGACGGATATTGCTGGAAAAAAAGAAAGGACGGGAAGACAACGCGAGAAGATCACATGAAGTTAAAAGTCCAAGGAACTGAAGTAAGGAAAGTCAATTAATCATTCAACACCAAACTTGAGACTAGAAACCGACCTCACGTTCATTTAGTTTAAAAGTTTTTAACTTCCATTGGCTTGGTGTTAAATTGCTAACGTGTTTAACTTTATAACCTGTTTGACTGCTTCATTGTTTTTAAAAATGTACATTGACCATAGAATTCATGCAGTAGTTATGCAGTCATGCAGTATATTTATTGGTCCGGTTATTTTATTAATAATTTTTAGAATTTTAATTTGCTAGAAACATTGAACGAAAAGTTTACTGTTGGTAGTATTTTGGTAAGGTTAGAACAAATTTATATTATTTCGACACTGTTGTTATTATTAGAATTTTTTTAACAGGCGGTTACGGTTCACAAAATTTAATCGATTTTTACGGAAATAATGAGACCCGTTGAATTTTCTGAAAAGCTGACAAGCGTAATGTATAAGTAAAAGCTCTTCCTGGGCCTTTTACGGTCCGTTAATTCCCGATTGCCTATATTTTCCACGTGTACGCCATAATGTATACAATAAGTAATACCAGCAACCAGCATCGTCTCACTAACCTGGTGATGTTGATTTTTCGCCTTTAGGAAAAAATACAATTGATTGTCTTGTCGTCACATGCCACGACGATAATGGCATATTATATTGTCGGCAGATTCGGTGCACAAACACGAAATTATTGTTGGTTTTGCAAATCTTTTACCCGTTCCATTACTAAGAGATATTCACCGATTGTTATTCACCGTCTCCGTTATAATATAATATAAATACATTATTATCGTAACGCGAGTTTTGCTGCGAGACATGTTCACCGATACCGCAAAAACAAGCTAAACTTATATAGTTTATGAATTATTTGAATACCGCCAAACCGTTGCCACGAATTGGTATATATTTGTGTACTCGGTACAACCACTCGGTTGTTAGAGAGGTGCTCCACAAGCGTGACTCGTTAGCGGTTTGCCGGTGTGTTCGTCTCGGGTTTTTCCGAATAATTCATATTTATGTAGACTGTGGATCGCACACGGTGCCGCCAAGACGTGTCTCAGCATAAAATGCAAATCTGTTATCGAATAATAATAATAACAACACACCTATGCAGGTTCATAATATCGCACGACAAGCATTTCAAAAGCGACACGAGTAAAAAAAAAAAATCGTAATGTATACCAGGTGGTCGTCAAAGTGTGGCAATAGACTTGGGCGAACAGTCATCCGAAGTATGCAAAACTCATATCGAATCGTGTCTTACAAGCGCCCATACAATTTGAAAAAAAATTATTACTGTGTTGCACACTGACAGTTTTTCGAATTTTTTTTTTCAAAACAATTATCATTTGTCTTTTTTAAAACGCATATGCGGTATTATGATTTTAGCAAGCAAAGAATAAGAAGACAAGTGCAGACTCTATGTCTTTTTATAATATCACTTGCCCTGGTGGTCGGTTAGGCCATTGAAGAGTTTTGCTAACGTTAGTGTAGCCATTTTGCCTATCCGATGCGCCTTATATTCGCCAACAGCCGCCGAGTTGCTAAATTCATAATTGCGTTAAACTGAAATTTTGTGTTTATATTTTGAGATACGTTCAAAATACTTGATTCGAACAAATACAAGTTGATTGCCAATCATAGAAGAAAAATCATCGTAGAAAAAAAAGAGCCATTTTATACCAAATTTCAAACGAAAAATAAATGGGTGTTGTATCTGGGTCAAGGACCTTGAGCAATTTGATTTGTACTATTTTTCTAGCTACTGCAGCTGTATATTTTCTAACGAAATCTAGATGCCCACGCTTGATTTCATAATTAACGTATATTCATATGAAGATCTTATTTAATATCATTTAACGCACCAATGGTTCCGAAGACAAATAATTGTGTATAACATATAGTTCTCTAGTAACGTACGGTAATGCACTGATAATGGATATTCCAAGAAAACGGTGTAATCGTTTTTTTTATGCTTACCCGTTCGGAGAACCTGCTAGTATAATAATATAATGTGCTAGAAAAAAATTATACTAAAAAAACTGGGCAATAAATTATTGCTGTTATTATTCGATAAATGTAATTTAATATCACCGACTGTAAAAGGTCAAACAGGATATTTGAATATGATATTTGTCAGGGAAAAAAACATTAATCAAGTTTCGATAACTAGGTACAACGTTTTCCTGGAAAGAGAACGCATTCATAAAATTATTGTGTTAACATGGTATACATTTATAATTTATATTTATATTAAATATATCAGTCTGCACTTTCGAGTTCCTAAAACTAATATTAAAATATATTATACCGAATCAAATCTACTAATGCTGGATTATTAGTTTCTCATTGTTTTTAATTTCGTTGAACTTAAGCTGAAAGTTGGTGGTCCTGAATTAAGCCGGAGCTGTAGCAATCATTAATGTTTTTTAATTCATCAAATATCTTCTAATTCAGTACAAAACGGACTGAGAACAAAACAAATAAAACTTTTTTTCTTAATAATTTTAGCTTAAGGAAGGTATTGCAATCTTTAAACCATGCGATTATTTGTTTTGTTTTATTATGTTCTCGTTAAAAACCAATGTTTTAAATGGGTCTTTTGGCTTATACTATTAATTAGCAATAGAATATGATTAACTTAAAAAAATGTATTTAAAGAAAATTCACTGGGAACAATATAATAATTTTTCAGGTAATGCGTTCACTCTGATTGATTGCATTTTATTAAAACCGTTATGGCGCAGCTCTCTATTTTCTCTACATGCTGTGTTACAATATATATACATATATTTTTTTAGAAATAGTATTGTGATAGAATACTGATAATATTATTTTTCCAAACGTACAAATTCTAATATCTTGGGTTTTCCGTTTGGAAAAAACTAAAACCAATAATATTTTATTCAATAAATTGTTATTAAAGCAGAGTTAATTTGATATAAAAATCTGTTCTGAAAACTGATTTTACTCGCCGTTTACACTTAACTATAACTCTTAAGTACAGAGTACCTACTGAAGTTAGACGCCAACATAATAAATCTAGAACAGTATAAGTATTTAGAAACTCCACATAGTGTCAACGCTACTACTTAAGTTACAATATTATGTTTTGGTTTTGACAACACTACTTTGGTGTACTATTCGCAGCTTGCCGTTCTATTCCTCTGTGAATAATGTATTGTCGCCGACTTTATTCGTTATAAAATATGTACGAAGACGTTTCGGAATATTGTAGTTGTAGCTTTTACCGCCTAGACAACTGAAACACAACTCAAAAGAAAAACTGTCTCGCCGCAAAACTTTTTGCGTTCAGTGACAGAAAAAATGTAATAACATATCACAACGCCGACGTGGTGAAAATACCAAAAAAATATATAAATATACAATGTTTTTAAACCGTTACCATAGTTTAGCTTAGATGTGAAAGGTACAGTTTATATTTTAATGATGTGGTTTTATTTATTTATTTAATTTTTTTTTTGCCGGGCTCACGACATCTTTCAATTCGATAAATCTATTCTTTAATGTAGCAAATCTATAGATCAAAAAGCATACCTAAATGGTACTAGTATAGACCAATAACAGTAAGGTATAATAACACAAATTATCTAATGTTTTTTTTAAACAAAGGTATTAATTCTACAGTATTCGCCATAATGAAACATTTTTCTTTATGTAATTCATTTTAAAATTGTTGAAAAATATATTGAAGAAAACTAATAGCCTAAAACGCCCACACAGAAATACCATCATTTTTATTTTGTTATCCTGTAAAATACTATGAAAGTCACTTATACTTTAAGATGGAATATATTTTTTGGAAACAGTCCACCAACTGGGCTGGAAGATTTGTTATACGAAACGTTTTTTTTATTTTGTTCTTGTGTCCTTTGTCGGGATAGCACTTCCAAAAACTGTTTCTATTTTCGCAACTCCTCGACCGTCGATCCGAGAAATCACTAAACTTTGTGATTCAGCTCCCAAGAGTGCACAATAGAAAGAACACAAATTAAACGTAAGACGAATCAGAAAGCAATCTCAGGGCCGGCTGACCACCCCGACTGGTTCTTAAGAGGAGTGAGCTGACGAGCGAAACGGCAGTCTTCTAAGTTCGTTCGCATTTGTCTTAGATGTATATCTAACAGTATAAGACAACGAAGTGCGTCTTACGTGATGCTTAACATTTAATTGCCCGTGAAAGTAGCTAAGGACTCGGTTAGCCACAGTTGCGGATCGCCCATTTTACTTCATACAAATAGAAATTAAGTAAATGCAGTTGAATCGTACACCGTTAGCGGAACGTAAAACATTTTAATTACTTTTCTCTTTGACTAATGTCACCTCCCGAACGGTATTTTTTACCTTACAAGGTACATGCTGGTTATGCTGGTGAGATATCCATATACAAATTAACCCCTTACTTTCAACTCTGCCATTATACTTGGGTCTTGGCCACATACATCCAACGCACAAGCTATACAGACAGCATACCTAACTAGAAGTATTGGACTGGTCGGTGATGCCAATGACTTCCATAATGTAATAATCTCCATTCTCCTTGATAATAATGTCCTGTATAGCCGTAAACATAAGATGAAATAATAAATTGTAGCTTCTCATATCCGGATGGTTTTAAAATATGTAAATGTATACAAATGTCAACTTCTTTACTTGGCATTTAGTTCAATAATTTTGAGACGATAACCTGAGTTTCAAGTTCAGAACAGCTATGAAGGATTAACCCAGAGTACTTTGATTAGGTTGAAATTGTATTAATTGTATTGTAAAGTAAGTTAATATGTTATGTCTTGAAATGTTATTAAAGGTTTTAATTTATTTGTCATTTAATTTAATATATAATATATTATTTTTGTATTCTATGATGTTTTTCAATACATAACAAAAGATCATACCACGATGTATTCAATAAAATCATCACTGATATTGATCTATAAACTATTAACACATTCCATCATCATGATGTAAGCGCAATGTATTAACTTATTCTTCTTCTCTTCTTCTCTACTAAAGACCTTGCCTTGTCGTTTCAAATCTGGTTCTCCTCATTGTTATGTTTAACCTTCATTGCTTGTTTGGGAAAATTAATGCAGTGGTTTCCCGTTGACTTCTGCATCGCAATTGCATCTCTTATTACTAAGGGATGTAATTCGAGTATAGATAAATCTATACTTGGTACTAACAATGTTGTTGCCCATTGCTAGGTCCATTTTGGTCGTCTTTTACGACGGGCATGGACTGCCGTGGGTGTATTCTGGCCCCCACCCACAGGGGCATTAACTTATTAATACATTTAATATAAATACTTCAGTTTTCATAACAAATTACTTGTCATAAAACAAACTATTTTTCATTTTAATAAAATCATATTTTAGACAATTTTGTATTAAATATTTCTTATAGTGGCTTTTCGTTGAGTAAACCATTCTACTTTCATTATTTTTTTTTAATTCATTTTCTTTAAAATTTATACAATTAATAATTTGTATATATTATCTATAATGTATATTACATTATAGCTGTAAAGTGTGGACGAGCGGCGTGTGCTGGTAAAAATAACTACTCACCCAAACTTGCTATACTAAAGTTAATGTTAATTATTACAAACTAGAAGATAACAGTCGTTATTTTTATCACTCTAATTATCATAAATTAACTTAACACGCAGTATTGCTATGGAATTAATTTTAAAAGTCATCTAAAGGAGCCTTTTATAACAATATTTTGAACATGGACGCCATTATTCATGTATATGTAGGTAACTATTTTGGCTAAAACAAATGTGAAAATATAACACAAAAATCTTCAAACGAATAAATGTATCGAGATGAACAAATAACCTTGTATACTTTAAAATATGTTTGAAAAAATGTTACTATACATAATTTTCATCAATATTATGTAGGTATTTATATTATTTAATTATATTGTTTTAGTGTATTTACGGGTGTTATGTCCATTCAGCCATACTTCCGACATTTCACAGACGTTGCTACTGGTTACTACAGGTATGTTATCAATCTTAATTTAATGTAAAATCAGTTTTGACGTAGTAATTATTTCCAAAGAAGAAACGTGGTATGAGAAGCACTATAGGTATATGATAATAATGTATACATAATAGTTTAAAGTATCAATTAAACATTTGAACAGCAAAAAATTGTGTATTGTTTCTAATGTATATGATTTCAAAATCCGATAATATAAATTTTAAATGCGGTTTTCTCTTAATATCTATATTTTTTAAATAGATAGGTATATAAATAGTGTTTTTCGATCAGTATGGTTGTTAAGTTCAAACAAAAATTAATACTTATGTGTAGGTGTGTAATATTTATATATAATTATTATTTAATTATGTTTCAAATAAACTTGTCTTATATGTTTGTTTCATATAAAATCAACACTCGTGCAACGCATTTGATACACCTCTTAAACGGTCATGAAACACTATTTAAAAAAAAAATTTAAACAACGTTTTATAATACGTATTTTAGTGAGTTGAAACAATTTAAATCGCGGCTGTCTCAGAAAACATAACTTTTATTACAAAAAATAACAATTACAATGACTTTTATTGTTTGGCTTTTCGTTCGACCTGCACAACCATCTTTGTCGTGATCCGTGACTTACCCGTTCTAGGGTTACTTCTTAGGCTTTTATATAATAAACTTGTCGTTAATGTCTTAGAACCCGGATATGGTGTTGGTGCACTACCTGAACGTTCCATACCCAGATGACAACAAATTGTCGGTCATCTCTCCAAGTTTGGCGCTGTGGGCTGACCGAAAAGAGTGGACAAAAGACGAACTCGTGTCACAACTTAAGCCCATGTGTAAGAAACACAGACGTACACATAATAACCTAGCCGACCTAGCTGTACATAATAACCTGACCGGATACGCTAAATTATTAAAAAATATTTTTTATGTATTTTTCAGTTTACGAGGAAGACCCTGACCATAACAATGATATGGAAGTGGCGGTGAGTACTTTGAGGGCTTCACGTCAGGAAGCGAATTGGGCCATTGTGTCAGTTGTATAAAAATTACTGGAAACCCCATAATAGGTTTATCGATCATAGATACAACACTTATACGAATATTCGTATAATAATGATGATTGAAAATTATATATTCCTTTTGTTTTTAATTATGTTTATTATTATTTCGAGCGTAGATCTATTCTGACTAATAGCGTTACATAATTAGTTTTATGCATACTTAATTAGGACGTATAATTCAACATTTATGACTGAGATGACATTTTTGTACCTATTTTTCTCAGACATAAGTTAAATAATTGAAACTTTATTTCTTATTTAATTTACTCCTACAGACTACCTATTAGTAATGTTGCAAACAACATACATAAATATTATATATTATTAGTACACTGTTGACTGATTTTAAATTTACAACAAAAAATATGGACGTCTCTAAATTTTGATTCTTTTTACATTATTTTAAACAGTGTATTTTACATACTTCTAACAGGACAGACCAATAGAAACTAATAATTGCACTTACTTTACTATGCGAGTTTATATAAGACAAAAACTAAGTAGGTATTATAATGTAAATAAAACCATGCACAAAGGTTTAATAACAAATATTTTCAAATGGCATCAGAGCGGAAGTCGGATGTTAATCTGATGTGTTTGCAGGCTTCAAGCCGACTAGCTCGTTTTGAATTATTTAATCTTACAAATCCTTGTTTTAGCCGACGTGTCATGCATGTACTTGTAATACTGTACGATTTGGACGGGGTACGAGTATGTTTTAGTCTGCCAACAAACAATTGTTATTTATAACACAAAAATTGAATACACTTGGCCGGTTTTAATCATAATAATACATAGTGTCGAGCATGAACGCAGATTTTACAAATTAAATTTCATAAAAAAAATACTGAGAAAACTTGTATACATGAAATAATAACGGAAACGTGTTTTTTATTTAATTATTTAACAAATAATTTTTTTTAGTTGGTTCTGTTTGGCAATTTTCTACAAAAATTTAACTTATGACTTATTTTAGTTTTATTTTTTAGTATATCAACTAATGAGAATTGTTCGTTGGCAGTACATTTTTTTTTTTCAAAAAACTATAGTGACCATTTGAAATATATTGTTGAAAAAAATGCCTTTTTTTAGTATTTTTTGGGGGGTAAAACATATCACAGATATACGATAATTCATAACATTTAAAAAAAACCAACTTTGTACTTTTTGTCCCTGGTGTTTTAAATGTCCAAATTCGCTAAGAAAATATTGTTTTTGTTTGAAAGACAGGAACATAAATACATTTTAAATGTCAATGTAATTCTTTTGGTTATGTGATATTTTAAAAAAAACCGAATGACAAAACTTAAACTCAATTCTTTATATAATGTTTTGACATTTTCGAACACGTGCGACAGCTATACTTGTACATTTTAATTCGAACAACTCAAAACAGATAGTTTCTATTTGTTGAAAAAAATAAACTATTTACACGGCAAATAATTAACATTTCTAAGAAAAAATGTATGAATCTTGTAACAGTGAAGTGCGCACTTTGTTGCCGTACTGTTGTCCCTTAAGATATTAGAAGAAAAAACTCGAAACGAAGTAATAATCTTAGAATGCCAACTACTGCTAAGTTATATCGAAGATTCCTCTGTGCCTAGTCACAAATTTTAATATTAATTAAAACTAAAGGAACGTGCTCGGCTTATGCATGCATACAAATCTTTCTCCCCTCTCTCTCTCGTTTTTTTCTTGTCCGACAAATAAACTCAAAGTTAAAACCACCGAGAAACTTTGTTTGTTGTTGTGTCTGCGGCAACGGCGTTTCCCCAGGAGTGCAAGATGTTTACAAAGTTGTCATGCAATAACATTGGATGACGTCAGTATTACACTTTTTCGAACATTTAAAAAGTAACTTTTGAGCTCAAGACAAAAAAAAATCACGGGCCGGGTCAATTTCAAATTCAAAATGTCCGGCGTTAACGAGATCACGTTTTTGCATCTAAGGCGATATCTCGGGATAAAAAATGCAATAAAGTTTTGACTTTCAAATTACATACAAGTTGAGAACAAGTTTGTCATCACAATGATACCATCTGGTATATATTGCATAAATTTATTCGCTATCAATTTCAAGACACTGAAAATCTGACAAAATAAATAAAAACCTTTAGCGGTAAAAACAAAAAAGTGTGTTTTCATAATTAGCAGGTATTAACCATCTTTGTCAAATCATAATTTTTACAACTTCATTAGTCTATTGAGCCAAATGTTCACTGTGACTTTCCCGAAAACTTCAATTTCTTATGTTTCTCTTCGCCTCCTTTGTGCCTTTCTCCTATCTTTTAACACTCACAAGTAAACGTATCAACATTTTTTTCTATATTTTTCGTTTAGGCGCAACTTTATCTAAACATTTTCATTTGAAAACTAATATTTAAATAATTTAAAACGATGTCCAATATTTTTTTTTTTTACACACCATTAACAATCACACTTTCTGTTTGACAGGAAAAATCATTTTTGCCTTTCATTTTGCATTTTTACCATAACAAAACGTATGTTACCTCTTATACGTTAGCTACTTAGTTACACTCTATTCTACTCTACCACGGCTTCTATTCCTTTATTAGATTTTATATTTAAATCAAATTTCAAACGCACACATAACTTATTTTCTTATTTCTAAGTAATTATTTTTCAAACATAATATGTACATCAACTCCAGTAATTTTAATATTCTCTCTTTTAAACTTCTACCTCAAATTCTGAATAGTTATGCTCAATGATTTTGTTCCCATCGCTTCTCTTCAATCTTCTGTAGTTTATTTTAATTTTTTGTTCACAACACATTTTTTAAAAATTGATCAGCTGCAAACATTATGCGTTAGTGCATTTTAATACTGCCATAATATCTTCTTTCAAAACAACTACATTACTTTGTTTAGAAACAAAGTCATAAACTTATTTCTAGTCTATACAACGTCATAACCAAGACTAAGTGCAAGGGAGACAATACGGTCTCCTTTGCATCCCCCCTCCCACAATTACCTCACAAAAAATACAGGATCTACTGAAATTTGGCCTTTAGTACTATAGTCGAATGTTAGTAGGAAACTATAACTTTTAACAATAATTTCATTTAATATAATACTCAAAGTCAGGTTTGACTTTAAAAAAAGTCCATATTATTCAGAAATTCAAGATACAAATAGTTTTGATTTAATAATAAATCATTTGGACTTTTTTCCATTAAGATTTTATATTCATTAGGATTTGTCGCAAACTACTTTATTATTCTGACTATTAAAGCAAGTTACTTTGAGTTAAATGTTTGCACTCTGGTGCACTATCGCTTATGTCAATATATCTAACCATTTAGTTTACTTGTACCCACCAAACATGATATTTTTTTTATTAAATACCTTTTAGCTTTTCTGGCAGTGATGTAAACATTCTATACTAAATAAGGTCCCGTTAATAGACCTCAATGGTCTTAGTAATATATTTTTTACAACCCTACGTGTGAAAATGAAAACTATCAACTAGAAAATTCCTTTTTGTCAGACCGGAGATGGCGTGTCGGCTATGGTCACACAGTTAATGGAATGGCAAAAAAACGCAAGGGCTTCTTTGCTAAGTCGAACACTCGAGTGTGGATGTCCCGATTCCACTTGTGCAGATGGCCAATCTTGTTCGCGACCGATCAGGCGCATATTATCATCAGACAGCAATCAAGTACCTAAGTCTAATGTAAGATGTTCGATACTGAGTTTAAAAAAAAAAAATATTTTTTGTTGTAGGTGTCGTCAACAACAGGCACCCGTGCACGAACCACCACAATGTTATTCACCACTCATCCCGTGAACCCTGCCAGGATTACTATAACCACGGTAATGATTAATATTATTCTAGTCAAAAACCATTCGGTAAAAGGCATTTATTTTTTAGACTCAATTGACTCTTTTTAACAAATTAGAATCATCTCATTCTAGGCTATTGTCTATTACTGTCTCATAGTTACCTTAGTTACCTTAAAAAATACCTTCGGGCCATCAAATTACTTACAGCTAACCTATAACTTTATTCTTCTTAACGTTAACTAAGTTTTACTCAAACACGGTTCCGGTTCAATATATTCTACGTCAAACTCATAATGAACACATTTGTATAGTCCTTGATAGTTAATATAATGCATTGCCTTATAGCTTATGCATTTGTAGTATTTATTTAATAATTTGATACTTTAGTTTATTGTACAAATATTGACACATTAAAATGAAAACTAAAGTAAACGAATAAATCAATTATTTTAAGTATCGTATTGCAAACTATGCTAACATATAATTTCTTAACAATATTTTAAATTATGCCATAGGCTCAAAATGGACAATCTACCGTGAACACGATAGGCAATAATTTGTTAACAAATTCTACAAAGGATTTTTGCAGTCAACCGCAGCAACAGCAAATTATTCTTAAAAATGACTGCAGTGTAAGTATTTATCCCGAATTCATATTATGCTTCTTTCATTTAGACATCCATAATATTTATAAATGCCTATTGGCTATTGGTTATTTTAACTATAAAAGTAAACACCGATTACAGTAATATTATTAGTATTATTCATAGCTTGAGTAGAATTGCATAAGTTATATAATCGGATATTTAAAATACGATAGAGTTAAGTAATACAATTATTATTTTATGTTGTGATGTAAATAAGTTTCTGTATTGTATTGCTCATATTAAAATATTACTTTGAATATAGTAAAACTAAAATTAGCTCAAGCCTAGACAATACAAATATAGATTTATACTACATTATAGTTTTAAATTATGCTTTTTTTTTATATTTACAAGAAGGACAAATAAATAAAATGTGTTGTAATTAAGTTGATCGGGTATTTAGGATCATAAATTACAGCGATTAAATCGTAATCCATTGGGATTCATCAAAGTTTTTTTTTCTTGTAGACACCAACGAGAACAAAAGTTAAGATCTTATAAAAAAGTTGTACACCTTGCAATGTCGTGTAAAATAAGATATCCGGTAAATTGATCACTGTCTATTAATTGTGAGGTTAGCCGATCGCTAATATAATTATTTGTGACTAAAATTAATTCAAATTTAGGCGATTGTTCAATTAAAAAACTATTGAATGATAAAATAATATTTGCTGGACTAAATATGATGTGAGTTTGATGGTAATTAAATAAATAAATCAAAAGAATCAAAAGAGGCTGTAAGTGACATTTTTTCCAAAAACGATTTTTTCAGCCAAAAAGGATGTATGTTCCAACGCCAATGTAACGCCATAAGGCTGAAATCTCCTCATCGATTGGCACTTACAGCCTTATTTTATTCCACTCCTCAATTAGTGCCTAACATTTAACTATAAAATAACAAAATGTCAAAACTATTTATCAATTTTGTTCCCCTTGGCATATAGAAGTAATGTTAAACCCATTACATAAAAAAGCAGCCCTTTTCGCAAAATAAAATAGATGTTAATTTTTAAATCCTCTTCAAATATTTCGGGAGGCTATGATCCCCAAGTCAACAACAAAGACATAAATTGCTAAACAATATTGGCAATTGCCAATCATTAATTGAAACTATTGACATGGCGATCGAGGCTTGAAAAAACAGCTCGGATTATCGGCATATAGACCCGTTGATTTTGCATTGCAGTATCTTTTGCGAATGTATTGTCTCTCGTTATCGTTACAGAGAGACAACGGTTCTCTCTTTGAACAATCGACAACACCCGATGATCGGCGTACCCGAAAACAACGGCGTTTACAAGCAACAGCCGGTGGTGGACAACACTATGCTGGGGTACAACGACCACAAGCAGTCACAAGCCTATCACAGCTCCCATGCGGCGGACGAACACGTGCACGTTTACCAGAGCCAACAGGACCATCGGCTGAAACAACAACAGCAACAGCATACGGACGAGCACGTCAAGTCAGAGTTCTACGACGTCACTTTGGACTTGTCGCACGACGACATACAGCAGACCCTGTCGGCCAACATGCCACCCGTGTCGTGTGCCGGCGCCGATCAACTTTTACGGTAAAAAAATATATATAATCATCACTAAAATGCACTTCGTTGTGTATACTGTGTAATGCAATATCGCCGATTCTGCGACAGACTCGACGACAACCGCAACAACAAGACGTCCGGTGACACGGGGGACGATGACGTGTTCGTTAGCCTGGACGCTTTCGACATGCTCACCGATCTCCAAGAACTCGACATGCTGGAAAACGCTGGCCAACAAGGCTCAGGTATGGCACGTGACCCGGTCGAGACGGTTAAATCTCAAAATCAACACGCATCTATTGGAGTACTATAGCTAATATATATGATATGTTTGTGCAGCCATAATGGTAACGGGCATGGACGAAAACCTGCAACATTCACACGGGCAAACCCAAATGGACGTGGACGTATTGCAGATTACCGATTACTGTCCAGAATGGGCGTTTCCCGAGGTAAGTCATCGAGTAACATATTTTGTCACACATTATTTAACCGTCCCGAAGTTGGTTTACAGAGCTGAGTGGGCTCAAACTAGTACAATGGTATATATAACTTTTTTTTTTTGCCGGATTTAGTAAAATTACATTTGTTTCAACTGGCCCTGTTTCTTTATTGTACGGCTTATAGACCGAAATGACTTACTTTTATAAATATTGTTTTTTTATTATTAATAAGTTTGCACATACACAAAATGGATGAACTAAATTCTAAACACACGATATACGTAAAATTTGTATAACCTATTAACTAATTTATACACCTCTTACAATGTTGCTCACTTATGTTGTACTGAACTAGGCTAGATTCAATTTCAGTTAAATACTAAAGAATCCTTAAAGTTGTAAAGAGTTTAGATGATATCCCTAGAGATTTCTATGCAGGTATAGCAAACTCTTAAATGGTACTCTTCAAAGGTCAAAGGTCGTTCTACAGGTTTATCAATCCGGGAGTACAGAAAGTTGTCTTCTTATTTGCTTATAATTTAGTTTTTGGACTCTCTAGTTGGAACAAGGGCAAGAACTCCGAAATTAAAATACTTTAACGGGTATCATAGTTGATTCTGGTTGGTCGCTTGAGTTCCAAACGGAAGTCTCATTTGGAAAACCATTGGGGAAAATCCTCAGCGAACTTTCGGTTTTATTGAGGACATTCTCAATGGCTTATTATTACTGTTTATTATCAGGGAGGCGTTAAAGTGCTGATTACTGGACCGTGGTTTTCTTCTTCTTCGTACACCGTCATGTTCGACACGATCGCCGTCCCGAGCACTCTGGTCCAAGGAGGCGTTCTACGCTGCTATTGCCCGGGTGAGTAAGCAATTATTGTAAAATATGTAGATGATAAAGTAAATATTTTTATTCAGTGCAGCTCTGTCATCTGAAGCTTGAGCAAAAGCATGTTATTTAAATATCTAAATATTTATGTTGTGTGACATATTTTGTATGCAGCGCACGACATAGGTACGGTTACCTTGCAAGTAGTCATTGACGGCAGGCCCGTATCGACCACTGCCATGTTCGAGTACCGTCAACACGAGATTCCGCTTACCATATCCTCGTTGACAATGCCACACACGCCGTCACTACTCAAATTGTATTTACTGCAAAAGCTCGACACGCTCGAAGATTACTTACAGACCAACAGCCAGCACTCCGATCAGCTACTTGTACGTGTTGACCATATGGTTTAATTTTTGTACATATTTTATAAATATAACGTCATACTCGTAGTTATACATATTTTCCCGCATCCAGGACGCGCCTTCCATTTTCCTTAACAGTTCTACTCGATTCCCATTAGGTAACTACGTTTATAATGTCTATCATTCCTAAGATAGCAAGTTGAAAACACAATATTATTCTTAGTAGTCTCGTTGAAATTTTCTATACATATTGCTACTTCTTAGAAATACACGATGCTGACCTGCAGTGTTGGGAATTGATAAAATAATTATCTAGATAAAAAATATTTAATCGTCTTATTATCTTATCTAAATAAATAAAATAGTTATCTGAGACTATTTATCTAGATAGAAATGTATGTTGTAATATTTGTTGATTGTTATATGTTTTCTATGTTGTGTTTTGTAGTAGTTGTTAATTGTTATAAGTGATAACAACATCTTCGTTTTTTTTTAACATTTAAATACTCCAAATTTGTTGAAATTTTTTTTTTTTTTATGTCATTTGACGTTATTATTTTTTAATATAATATGTTAGATAAGTAGAATAAATGAATAAAAATAAAAATAATAAAGAGAAAATACAGTTTAATAAATTACTTGTGATAAATAAATTCGATATATTAATATATTATTACATTCATTTTCCTCTTAAGATATTTTTTTTTACAGAGCGTAATGTGAATTCTATTAGTTAATATTTGTAAGTAGGGTATTATTTAAATTTTTTAAAAAAAAAAGATATATTTCTTTGTGGAGATACATTTTTCATTAATAATCTCATATTATCTTATCTAAATAATTTTTTAGTTATCTTTTCCCAACATTGCTGATCTGAACCATCGTTTAACCTCAGTTTATATACTTATTGATATTATTCAAATTATTTTTTGATCCGTATACATATAATCATATTTGCACTTTTTAATTATCTGACAGATACAGAAAGACAGCGCAGTTATGTTGAGTAAATCCAACTTTGAAAACTGGCTGGTCGACTACTGTGACCAAAAGAAACAGTTAACGTGGAAATCTGAATCGGAATGCAACATCAAACCACTGGAAACCGGGACGACGTTATTGCACATTGCCGCATTTTTGGGATACTCCAAGTAATATAAATAAATATTTTAAAAAAATAGAAAATTTTACTTGGAAATCTTAAAAGTTCCAAGAAATAGTACAGTTGCGTCTGAGTTAAATGCTGTTAATTTATTATTAATTGAGTTTAGGATGTCTTTTTAGATTTACATGTAAAAACCAATTATAGTAGTTTGATTTGAATGAGATGTGAATTGGTTCTGAAATATACATTTAATAGTTTCTCATAATAAAATGTATTTTGTCTAATCGTATAAACAATAGTAATTATTTATAATTGAGTAGGTATTAATAATTATTTTGGAAAATCTGACAAAATTAAATACCTAAAACAGAGGTACAACAAACATTTAATTTTTCGTTTTATTTAAATGTATCTTGTATGTATAAAAATAATTTCAACATACTCAAAGAGAGATTTTATAATAATTTATGTCTACCGGCTACTGTTAATCGCTGTGTAAACAACGGAAAATAATTGTTATAGACTTGTGTGTAAATTGCTTCAATGGAAACTAGAAAACGCATCGTTGTTTTTGGAATTAGAAGTAAATGTTTCAAAGCAAGACAGAGATGGATACACACCATTGGTAAACACAATAAATCATTTTATATCTTAAAAATACTTTCAAACTAATTTAGTTATGGCCCTGACTTAAAGATGTGGGCGTGCAAGAAAGGTCATAAGGACACGGCAGTTCTACTTTGCCAATGGTATCAGACGACCCATAGTGCTGATAACACATTTAACTTAGACTTCTGTCAAACAGACATTTTGGAATCCGTTCATCAATGTAAGAACGATTTGTTTATTTCAAATTTTAGTTATAAAACCTAGTTTTATTTAAGTAAAAAAATAGTTTTAACATTATCTTAGACCGTTTGTCTTATTGTTCGATCTTTAGTATTAATCATAAACGTCACATGAATAACAAAAAGTACCTACTGGTTTCGAAAATAATCTATTAATCTAGACAAGTCTCTATTTTATTATTAATTATCAGTAAATTATTATTAACAGATTTCAATGATTTCGATCAAAACGAGTATTACGCCAGCGAAAACTTGACCAATGAAAATATGTTTACAAACCCCAACGAAATACTTTGGTAAAATCCATTAGAATTTTACTTTGAACTCATCATGTATGCATTTTTAAATATTCAAAAATTACTTTACAGTGACGTTAAAAAAGATATTAACACTCAACAATTTGACGGACACAATTCTCAAGCTGTTCAAATGGACAATTCGTTGACCAGAATATGTAAGCTGTTTATGTTATACGGTATATTTTTTAGTACTTGTCTAATTTTATCATTAAACAATTTTTTAGCTTCTGGAAACGAAAATAAACCTAGTGACAACAATATATTGAATCTTCAAAGCGTGCAATATGTCAAACGACCGATCCCAAATAGTTTTTCAGAGAATGATGAATGTTACAATCAGTTCTGCAAACCCATACAGTATTACCCTTCTGTTAACCAGTAAGTGTCGAATTAGTTGGGTCAGTTGAGTTAAGTATTCAGTACCCCCCACCAAAAAAAAAAAAAAAAAAATAAGTTGAATAACGAATTCTATATTACAAACTGGAAAATACCTCAACATCGTAAAGCACCTGGTAAAATATTAACGCACATAGTTACCCACTAGAAACATATTTATGGGTCTCATACAATTTTGATTTCTAAGACTTTATTTTTTCAAATGTGTCTAACGTTTGAATACATTTGCGTGTTAGGTTCCAAAAAAGTTTTACACTGCCACTGCAATCTCCGAATTCGGACAGCGGGATTTCACTGGACCGATCTCCTGTGCTGAACAAGTCTAATTTTATTATTTGTAAGTATGCTGTGAAATAAGTGCTAACAAACAATCATTTATCATTATTATTTCTATCATGTCGATTCATTTACACTAACAATATGTTTATCAAATTGAAGTATAATTATAATTAATTTGTTTATTATTAATGTTTTATTCGTACACTATTATAATTTAGAACTTTTTATTACTTACAGTTTAAGTATGATTACTTTTAAACTATAGCCAATCGATATAATTATTGATATAAACGCACTACGGAATAAATTCGTACTACTTCATATTTTAAACTTTACATATATAGATAAGCCATTCGTAGAGTAATAATTGTTATATTTACGTTTTATTATAATTATTATTAATAGGTATTATACTTACTTAGAGTCATACATTGGTTATTATGATGAGTAGTTAAATTTTAATTAGTATACACTTTTGCGCATAAATGATTTGGATAAATTTAAAAATTAACTTTTTATATTAAAATATTTTGGCACATGGGATGACTCTCAAATACAGAGTTGGTAAATTAATAGTAAAATAATTACTTATTAACAATTAATTTTATATCACGAGTTAAGTATAAAATGCGCATTTTATAAAATGTTAAGTGTCCGATAGCTTTTCTTGATTAGCTTATTATGGTAGAATTTGATTGGCTGACCATTAGGCTTGGTGACCTCGCTGTCGGAGAAACCGGCGGCAGCTGTAGCAGCTGTAGCGGCAGAAGACAGTAGTAGTGATGGCGGTGGTAATGGTGTTGTTGTTAGCCCCACTGATGTTGTGAATCAGAATCAATCAAACCAGGACCCTGATGGCGCAAAAATCCACAAAGCCACTGACCACGAGGCCCAAAATCCCACAGGACACGGTATGAAAAACTACATTTTAGCAGTACCTACCAAAAGCTCAACAAAATCCCAAAACAGTCTTTTCGCTTTCTCGCTTACTCTCAGACACACAAACACACGTCTATACCATTAGTACAATAATATATATATACTATATATATATATATATATTTATATATATATTTGGATGCTCATTTAAAATTACACAATTTGTATTATAGTATACGTTTTACTTTCACAAAACACACATAAAACGAACACACTATGTATAATGTTATTAGTTAACTAAAATAATAGTCGATTTTTATTATGTATACTACATACTTATGTACATCAATTTAAGGTAAGAACACATTTAAGTAAACAGATAACACAAATGTATAGATTAAATATAGATAAACGACCGAATTATGTAATTTTTGTTTTAGGGGAACAAAATGTCTGTGTACTCACATTGGCTGAACAGTTCATAGCCGCTATGCCTGAACACATCAAGGTGAGCCTTTTTTCAAACTTTTTAAAGTCAAAAAAGTTGAGATAGTTCAGATAGTTAAATATAGAGTATTTAATAAGCAAGGCGTTTCTAAGAGAAATACAATAGGAACACCTGATCATTGTTAGAAACTAATTAACACCAGATATACCGGATGATTCATCACTCTATATAAATGTATATGTTAAATTATAACATTGATAGGTTTTGACGATTATGTTGTACATAGACAATCAGTAGTTTGTAGAGTTAATCAATAGTAGCCTATTCAAATAAGAAATACCCCAAAATTTCAAATCCCTAGCTTAATTATATAGCACTTTAAAATCACTTTCTTAATATTTCACGATATTGTTTTTATCATATTACAGTCCATTGAAACAGAAAAAATTGATAACTTATTACTTGCTAAAACATAATTTATCACAAAATACCACATAGATTTTTAAGTTTTGTAGAATTTTTTTTTTAAATTGAAAACAATTTTGTTTTTTGTGTATATTTTATGTTTGTCGACCACAATAAGCTTTTCCATTAAAGATTTTTTTCCGAAATCGTATTTCATAGAGAAATATGAAGAATAGCCGGCCTTGCTGTTGTTGGATGTGAGCTGGTTTTATTTGGATTTTATTATAAAGAAAATAATAAGCTGTTAGTAACAATTGTTTCAATTTGAAACTTTATTTTTCTACTTTTTTTTCAATACACCTAGGGTTATCTACAGTCACATGGTGCATTTTTTATCTTTTTTCAAGTCTTTGACAATTATGGTCGGATAGCATAAGTTTCTCTTTATAAATTGTACGTAGTTTTGTGTGTTTTCGATGTCAGTAATGTTGTCTTTTGCTTGTTCTACGTTGCATTCCAAACTGTCCATGTGTTCTTTTAGCTTTGCTGACACCTACGTATTATTTGATGCAATTGCTGTTAATAACTTTACCTATTCGAGCAATAGTCATAAAAAAATAATTACCAATTCCAATTGTACGGTTTCCGAACAAGCATAAGCCTTGGTTTCGGATATCCTCTGTTGTAATTCCTTAATATCGCACAAATACTTGTCCATTTGTTTTTTCAATCCTTTGTTCATTACAGCAATTTTGGAACTTGATTCTTTTTTAATTCTCTCCAACTCGGACTTCAATTGATTTACGGCAATTTTGGTTTCGTAGCCACGTTTTTCGGTTTCGGCCAACTGTTTTTCCAATTTTTTTAACTCATTTCTGTTTAAAAATATTTGCTTATAAAATAATTGATATAACATGAAAACAACAATCTAACAACAGTGTTTATTATTTTAACGAGGTGAAAAAATATTATCTTAATTATTTGTCCATAAACTTGAGTCACGTTTACATAATGGTTACTTAATTCCTCAAGTATAAAATACTAAAGTACATTCTAAAGTATATATAATTTACTGAAAATGTGGACGGGTCGAAAACCATTTTTGAATAATTATTTTTAGAGTTACTAAAGTTTAAAATTTAGTACTGTTGAATAATTTGGTCAGATAAAAGTAATACTGCTATCTACTTTTCCTCCAATCCTAATTTTTAAACTTTTAAAATAACTGTTTAAAACTGGTTATAGACCAGTCAACAATTTTTGTGATTTATTTTTTTATACAAAAACTTAATCAAATATATAGATCACCATTTAAGTTGATAAACCTTGAAATTTTCCAAAAATAAAATAAACATTTGAATATTGTTTAATACTGAAAAAATAAAATAATCTAAAATGTCTCCAAAATCGTAATTTTTTTTTTTAAATTAGTGTCTCACGTTAAATGGAACACCCTGTTATTAGATTGTTCAGTTTTTTTTATTTAAACTCCTACATTTACTCCTATATTTTTTTTAATTATTTAATACCTATTCAACTCTTTAAATTTATACCACTCTTAAAAAACGCTTACTTCATTTCGGCATTTTTGGCTTCCATTGCCAAAACTTCGGGAGTCTTCAACTTATCCGTGTGCATGTTTTTCTTTTTGTCTCTCTGTATCACATACAAGAAAAAAAATGTATTACTGTCGTTTAGTTAACATTTACTGCAACGATACATACTATCTTTTTGAGTAGATCGTTCAAACATTCAATTTTTCTATCCGTTTCCTTTTTCAATTCTTTTTGCTCAAATAGTTGTTCTTTAGCGGCTTGGAAGGCAATAGGGAAATGTTTTATACTCTCTAAACGTTTATCAAAGTACTCCTAGCACAAAATGGTCACATGCAATTTTATATTTATTATTATTATTATTATAATTATTTTATGTTTACCCTAACACGATCAAATTGTTGTTCGTTTTCCACTTCCCGCTTGCATCTTTCTTGACACAGCTCGTTGGATTGAATTTTTTTCAATTCTTTTCTCTGTAGCATTTCCATATACTGGGAAATTGAGTTCGAATTAAAATTTATGTTTCGACTTTTGCACTCAATTAGTTTATGCGAGTATTTACTTTCTCGTTTTTAGCTTCCATTTCGCATTTTTGCATTTCGATAATCTTTTCCAATCCTTCCACGCGATTTTTAGCGTCTTTCAACTCATTATTATAAACGTGTATCATGCTACTAGGGTCTTCGGTCAACTTGGAAGGAACAAACGGTAATATTATTATTAACAACGATACCTCAGTAGTCTTTCATCAACACTATGCATAGATTATTGCAGGATGAATACTAGAATTGACCTCTTTGATCATTAATGTCCTACTAGTAGTTACTTTCCGAGAAATGCATTATTGGTTCCCACTAAATACCATTTTATTGGGCCAAAATATAGTTCTCGACAAAGTCAATACGTTTTTAGTGAATTTAAATTTTCTAAAGAGTCACTTTCTGTTTCTATAATTATTTTCGACGAAGTATAATTATTTAATTTATAAGCGAATATTTAATTTGGCTAATACATATTTTTTCCTGTTTTTATGTTTGGTTATTAACTTCACTAAATAATTGTACACATCTAGAAAATTATGTTAGTGCTTGTGAAAGTATGCTAGTGTTTTGCAGATGTTGTACTTGTATTGTACTGTACCGTGTAAAACTTAATAGGTACTAATAAATTGCCGTTTACTTTTTTAAACGCAGTCAATTCCTTAGATTTTTCTGAAATTTCCGCTTTTGCATTAGATAGTTGTTTGTTGTTGAAGCTTAATTCATTTTTTGTATCGTCCAACATTACCCGGAACTTGGATATTTCTTCTAGCGTGGCGCTTTAAACAACATTAATACTACTTACATTACTATCTATAAGATATGTATAATTCTACGATTTGCGAAAAAAGTATCTCACTAGAAATTGTCTTGTAATTTCTGAGAAAATACATTGAGCTGTAGAATGTTGTCGGTTTTAACATGTACGTCATCATCTCCCGGGGGTTCCTGAAGGAATCACTAGTACAATTATTATTCTTTTACGGCGCAAATTGAGTTAAATAAAATGCAAAAACCATCTTCTTACGGGACAGTCGGCGGCTATCATTGCGTTTCTAGCCAGTTCTAGACGACAATGTTCCATCTGGAGTTTGTAAAATTCTTGTCTCAGTCGCTTTATCTCGTTGGTCATTATGTCAATTTTGGTTTCCTAGAGTGATACGTGTATATTATAATATAGTATTACCAATTAAGCATAGACTTATAGAAATCGACCAAAATTGATGTTCTATTCATGTTTAAAAGTATCAAATAATTTTAATATTGCTACTTAAATCAAATATCTTGTTATCAATCATTTGGTAAACTAAACTTAATCAATGTAAATATAATTATGTATCTCTCACGCGTTGATATACCAGCAAGCTGCTGTGGTTAAAGTATATCGACCGCGCAGTCCATTTGTATATGTATCTACTACTATAAGTCTTGTTTAGTTTAACGAAGTTGATTTACCATTTGTTTTTTCCCCGGGAATACCACTTCACCAGTTTTCATTTTGCTGAATGGCGTCTAGAGAATTCACACTTCTTAATTAATTTGGTACAATATTAATATTAATAATAATGGGTATGTGTTGTGTACATGCGGATATGCTACATACTCTGTTGCGTAACATCTTGGCCATCTTGAAACTCTTTCTATTCTGAAAAAATACATTTAAAACTAAGCAATCCATAGCAAGCAATGAAAAAAAAAATTATCAACTCGGACCGTACTTCTTCGTCTAACTTGCACCGAAGTTTGGAGTTATGCTTTTCTGCCACTTTCATTTTGATTTTTAATTCGCCTATAACGTTTTCGATAACTTCATTCGAAATTTCTTCTTTGTCCATACTATCTAAATGGCCTAAGGCGGCTAAATGTTCATATGCACTTTCACCAGTGTCGTCAAATTTGCCCTCTGTCGACGGTTGCCGAACGGCAATACACTAGTTCAAAAAAATCAAAAACTTTTGCGTTTGTTTTATTTTTATTAATGCTAAAATTAATTTTTATATAATTATTAAAAAACATTATTGCACCGGCAATGTTATTTATTTACTTCTCTCGTACTAGTACTAGTTTGTCCAGTCGTTTTGCATTTGAAGTCGTCCAAGTCTATTTTCAGTACCGAACCTAACTCGTTCAAGGCTACCGCAAGTTGTTTTTCAGCGTCTTTCAAATTGTTTTTCAGATTTTCCAGTTCGTCCGAGTTGTCCGCCGTACTCTCGGCCTAAGTACAAACATAGTACATCACAAACCTGTCAGCGGGTTACCATTGACATTTACTGACGTTTTGTATTTGTACAATAATTTTATTTAATGTTTTTATACGGGCCGTCAGCTCGGTGGCATTTTCAATAGTATTGGTTAATACTGTTTTGTCCGTCATGACGAATTAAAAAACATAAAAAAACAATGATCTCTTTTCACTTTTCTAATCTGCGACTGTTATACGATTTTAATTAACACATAATACACTAGTTCAACACAACACGGTTGTCTTGTAAACGAAATGTATTGTAGAAAATCGCTCGCCCGGAGATTGTTGTCATTTCAGGTAGGACCTTCAAACATTTGTAAAAAATAAATACAGTGTTTTCCAAATTTCATGTAAAAGTGATTTTGTCTATGATATAATATTATTATGTCAGCTAATTGAGTTCACAATACAATTTTTATCATATTTAAAAAAAAAATTATATTTACAACAATTCAATTCACTATTAAGTCAGAATGGTGTAATGAAAATAATGTCTAGTCGATAACCAGTTTTGAATGAAATAAAATTATTAAACATTTAAATAAACCCTTAACCACAAAAATGATACTCTTTAGTATACACGTATTTTGGCAACAAGTTACCATCATCAGAGCACACAACAGACTGTGACCAATTATAGGTAAACTCTTCAGCGACGTCATACCGAAAAATAATTTTAATAAACCTCAAGTCGAAACTTAACAAGTTGTTCTTATTTATCAACATTTCTATTGCCTCTCTAATATTAAGTTCTTTCGAATTATTTACATTACATCAGATACAATATACAATTAAAATAAACCCACATATACCGCAGGTACCTACCATTTTTTAAACAAAAACGACATTTTTGAATATTTTTTTTCATTTTTTTGCAGAATGAAAATGAACACAGACAATTATCTGACACTTCAATAATAGAAATAATTGATGATCCACCATCGACAGCATCGCCTTGTTGCTTCGATCCCAACTCGGATATCAGTACAGAATTTAACGACAAACCATACCGGTAAAATATAAATGAAACATCAGAGTGCTTTACCCAACATTCAAAAATTTACTCCGGATCATATTTGTTTAACTTTAAACTTAAACTGATTTCTTTTCCACAGACATCACCGTGAAAGAGAAATAGAAACGCCAACGTCGAGCACAAATATTAGTTTAAGTCCGATGTCTAGTGCTTCCCAGTGTTCGCCTATCTCACCACCTCCTACTGCGGCGGATTTGAGCGAATTCCTTCATGCATCGGCCAACAACCAATACGTTGAAAAGAACTTTTCCAATCTCACACTGTCGGGTAAACATCAGCAATAACCTAACCGTATAACTGTAACTCAAAATATTAAATTTTTCACTTAAGGTTTAAGTAGGGTAAATGTAACGAAATAGTAAAAAAAATGTAAAAGGTTTTTTTTTTAAATACAACTTACTATAAAGAGTTTTATACTTTATTCGATTATTTTAATGATTTAACATCTTACGATAAAACATTTCTATGTATGGTTACTTTATTCAATAATTGCATTTGTATTTGCTCCATTTATTTACAATAAGCTTACTACAATGCTTCTTTTTCTTATTCTCGCGTTTAAACGTTCGTTTTTTATGGATTATTTTTAGACTACGAGCAACGAGAGTTATACGAAGCGGCTAAAACCATCCAAAAAGCGTACAGGACTTATAAGAAACGGGAAGAATACAAAGAAGTATCAGCCGCTTCAGTCATTCAAAACTATTATCGTCGTTATAAACAGGTAACTTAAAAACTAATAATTATAACAATATAGTACACAACATACATAGCATTAATTTGGCGTATCCAAAAACAATATTACACAAAAATATTGTTATGTTAATCAATAATTGCCAATTGAAATACTCTTAAATATTCTTCGTATTTGTGTTATTAGTTTGCATATTATAAACAAATAACAAAAGCCGTCGTTCTCATTCAAAACCAGTTCCGGTCGTACAAAAGACAAAAACGAATAAAAAAAGAAATATCACATTATACAAAAAGCTCATGTAGAAGTATAAAGTAAGTGTAAAATACAAACTAACAAGTTAAATAATTTATAAATACAGCTATGTATATTTTGTAAATTTAAAAATTATCTCTACTCTTTTACTTAATTAGTAGTATAGTACCAAGCTTACTATAATAAACTCTCTTAACTAGTATTAATAGTAATTGAAAACTCGTTAATTCAAATTGTATAGTTTTTAAAGCGCATTTAACTTAACTGTTTAGTTTTAATTGTTTCGGTTTTTATGTAATGTCAACCCGATGAGTTAATTTAAAATTTTAAAATATAATTTTTAAATTAATAATTTTATAAAAAAAGGTGTCGAACTATTTGTTTTTGTGATTTATAGATAAAATTTTCTATTAAGCATAATATTCAATAGTATTTAATTATGTATTTACCCTAATTTTTTTTTATAAAATTATATTTATATAAATTTAATTGAACTGTTAAATAGGAGAAATCAAACGCAGAAACGTCAAAATCAAGCTGCCAAAAAAATCCAACACTTTATAAGACATAACAATGAGAGGTTTGTTCTCAATACATTTCCTAAATTAATTATTTACACACTTTACATACTATTTTTCTGTTAAAATTAAATTAGTTAATTTATGTTTTTTTTACAGTATGCCTCCTCCTGTAAATGTAAGTTAACATGTCAATGATAATTATTTAATTGATTTTATATTTTAAACGTTTATACTTAAATAGTAATAATAATGGACTTAAGTTAGTTGTGGTTTTATTATTTACCAATGTTATTGGATCCACAGCAAATTGAAATACTTACCATGTAAACCTTAACTATTTATCGAGGTTTCCGAAAAATGTCCTAAGTAAAATTATTATTATATTAAATTATCAATAATAATTTTCATGTTTAAGTAAAAATTATTATTTTAATACAAGAAAATATAAGAAAATAAAATAAGTAATAAAAATTATCAAATACCTAAAGTTATTACTCCTTAACATCATATAAATTCATCTCAATATACGTCACATTTCATTGTTTCTGATTTCAGTTTGCTGAACACACTTATGGTTACCACGAAAGAGATGATAATACTGATCATAGTCTGAAGTATAATATGCCGACCAAAGCCGCTCAATACTCATCGGCTAAGTCCACCATCTGACTTATTGCTTCGCTCTCCAGTTAATTCGAACTGTTTTCATATATTTTACAGTCGATGTAAATATTTTTGCATTTTAACAATTTTGCATTCCAACGTTTTAACAGGCTGTTACTAGTATCGAAAACACCAATTTAAAATGTAGTGTTTTTAAGTAACCTCAAAATCCGTGTGCGTCTCTATAATATTGATATTGATGACTTCTCATACATCATTGGTCGTTTAGAGAATTGACGTTATGGATTTTTTTTATTTAAACGCTTAAGCTTTTCATCTGTACATAAATAATATACTGTTTTGAACGCAGTGACATTTCCTCGAACTTCCTGATATAAATACTGATTGCGTTGCTAGATATTGCCAAAATGTATGCCCCCCAATTAATTTGTCTGTAATTTTGATTTTGCTAGGTATTTTCCCCTTAGTTTATAGTTATTAGGTATGATGTTGATAAATTTTGACTAATTCTATTTGCCAAATTATCTTAATGGGCGAATTCTCAAGACAAATTTCGAAAGCCATCGTCTTGTCGCCTATACATTTCATTGACATGGTCTATGGTATATATAATTATAAACAATCCCGTTGCTTGGAAATAAAAAGTTAAACTCAACCATAAAATTATTTCAACTTCCTTCGCCAAAAAAAAACAGTGAAGTTATATACTAATAAAACATAGGTATTACACCAATATACAGTATAAAATAACGATTTTGTTTTTGGTATTGTAAAACGTGACCATATTATAAAGTCGACATAGTTAAAATAAATATACATTTTAAAATATTGATTTTTATTAGGCTTACAAGGTTACACGAAACGTGTACATCACAAACTTATTTTCAAGACTGTTAATTAGAAATGTTTTTTTTCAACAACATAATTTAATTGACAACAAGGCTTGAATAATTTTACATTTAAATGTCCGAAGTCAATGCTGGATTAAGAAAAAACGAAACTCTAAGTAAAAAGTAATTACTATGAAGTAAGCTAAAAATCAACCACATTGCCATTAACGATCTTTTGCTAAAATCCAGACACTAATTGTATAGTTTAAAATTGTTTTTATTTCCTTTTGGGAAATATATATAAAATATAATACAATATTTGTAATATTGTCAAAACAGATGATACATGATATTTTACTTTAGATAACCAAAGATATTAATAACACAAGCGGTTCAAAAAAGTTTTATACATTTAATATATTTCATTCGTAAATTATTTTCAAAATCGTTTACAAATTTTATCCTTATAATATTCTCAATCAAGCCTCGACAAAACATTTGCATTCCTTAACAATATTTCTATATTTTGAGTAACATTCAAAATATACTAACTGTAATGATTATGGTAATGAGTAATATATATATTATAAACGTTATGTGTTGTATAATATTTGTTGTGTTCATTTAAAAGTATTTATGTTAGCATTGTAAAACTACTTGAATATAAATTTAGAATGTTTAATTTTAAAAAAACTTACTTTAAATGTATCAATATAAATTAAACATGTTAACTTTAGTTGATGTAGTATGAAAAACTTCTTATTTGGAACCTTTTTTAAGTTGTATAGTTTTAATAAGTACATAGACAGCATAGCAATTTGTATTTACTAATTTTTTATAGTAGTTTAATCTTTAAATATATTGTTGGCCCGCTTATTGACCAGCGTTATTTACCAAGTATAAATCATCAAATATGATATCTACATAAAATAAACCATAAACAAAAAATAACAAAAATATTTACCGTCATCGTCGACTTGCCTCTTATGGCAAATAACCTGACCAAATTTTTAATATTTGAGCCATTTTAAAAATCCATCCAAAAAACCTTAACTATAATAAAATTTACTATACTAGGCGGTGGTACACTTTTTTGATGACCTAAACGATTTTTTTAATCCGGCCGTGACTGAAGTGCATAATTATAGTTAAGTATTATCAATTGAGATGGAAGTATACATTAATAATATTAGTATTCCAATACTTTTAAGCCACATATAGTTAAGCTATCATTTGAAAAGATAAATGGAACTTATTTAAGAAATGGTAAAATATTTATTTCGTGATCGGTAATTGAGTAAAGTCTGTGCCGATTTAATTGATTCATTACTTTTCGACTCTTGGACCATTTTATGTCATAAAATTGATTTATTCGATCGCTTGAGAGACTCGAGTAATTTCATTTCTTTAAACTTTATCTATTTCAATTCTCTGTACTTCTTTAGTATTTTATTTTTGGCATAGGTAAACCTTAGTTTTACAAATTCCAGATTCTGGTTCCTTGACGAAGACCTGCCAAATTTGTATACGCAAATTTAAAAATATCATATTATAATAATGATTAAGCGTCTTTGAATGCATTACGATTTTTAAAATGTTGCTGTTAAAATTAAGCTGAAACATTGTATTTATATATATATATATATATATATATATATATATATAGGTTTCAACTAATTTTTACCTACTTAAACAAACCATGTTTGTCTTTTAGCAAGACTCAACCGTAGTGAATTACTCAAAGATACTCAGTGGCTACACTAAAAACGTCGACAAAATATTATTTTTTATTTTTCAAAGTTTTACTGTAAAATATCCTTTAGGGGTTAATACAATATCGAAAAATGTCCAACAGTAGACAACAATAGTATTCTTTATAACTTATTATAGTTTTCCTTTTTTTCTTGAAATCATCTTTGAATCTATTCCATTGGCATACCTATTTTATTCATTTTATTTTCATATATTTTACCACATTGATTCGAATTTAAACGTAATTAATATTTTATTCGAACACGTACATTTTTGATAAAATAGTATTTTCGATTTTTTAAAGTTATTGTTTTGTAATTACGAAAAATCGTAGACATTTTTATTTATTAAACTATACAAACTATTTTGTTATACTTAAACTTTGTTTTGATTTTAAGTTCGTCGCTTGTATTTTTGTTTGTTTACCATTAGTAAAGTTGTACTTAGAATGCATCAGGTTTTTATTTTTTAGTAGACTTACAAACATTTGTACATTTAATACGTCCACATATTTATAAAATATAAATATATTTATGTATACGTATATACATGTTCAATCGTTAGATTTTCTATAGTACTGCTCAACTTTAGTCACAATAAGTTTTTTTTTATTATTATTATTAATAACTATAATGTTTATAAAAAATGTTTAAATAAGACTATCTAATAACTAACTTTATTATTATTGCTACATTTATTATTATATTTATTATGATTATATTATATTGTTTTTCTTCTATAGTATTAAATTCGAATTTAAGCATTTATTGTAAACTCATAGAGTATTGTATTGTATACTACTGGATCTATAAATTTACCATTTTATTTGGTTCATGTTGAAATAAAGTTTTTCTCTCATATACAGCTCATGCCTATTTTTTTGCTTTTAATTACACAGAACGATCTTGGAGTATAATACCTATAACATTCCGGTTTTGAAAAGCTATGGAACTTTTTTAATATTTTTATTTTACCAGTTAGATGTATAATAACTTTTAAATGACAAAATCCGAATATACAAGTTTTTTAAAAGCAGTTAAAAGTATTTCAATAAAAGTTTCATAAAACGGATAAATTTAACATTTTCAAAAAAAAGTAAAAAACCACCAAGTACTTTTTTGAGAACTTGTGTACAGAATATGGCTGTCTTTACAACATAGTAAATCTACAATGATATTAAATGATAAATGACAAATGGGTGTCTACAATGATATTGTGAGATGATCCTGTACATTATTAGAACCCAATATAGCTGATATTTATTATTATTATAAAAGCACAGAATATACTATTTATTCTATTCTGTGATACAAGTATATAAACAACTACACACCTATCCTACTTAATGTTATTATGTATGTATTAATAGTAACCATAGATTTTATTGATGTTCTTTTCATAATATAACATATAGTTTGTCAACTTATTAATGACAATATTGAAAAAACTAGTTATTCGGCCCAATTCGTTGGCACTGTGTAAATTAATTGATTATTAGTAGTCTTATAATACAAAGATGGCGAGTGGAAAAGGAACTACTATGCACTTTATATCCCGTGGACCTGGCATGGTAGAAAGAACTAGAATTGCCGATGACGACATATTCCTAAAGTTTAAACTTTATGAAAACGTTAAATCGCGTCCAGTAAGTATAATAAATAATGACGTTTTACCGCATATTTTAATATTTCAATCAGTCTTAATTATATGTTCTGGCAAAACGTTTTTTAGTAGTTTTGTAATATTTGGCCGTAATCGATTTACTGGCAACATTTATCAATATTTAACATTTTTTATAAATTAATTTCCGTGACTAGCTAGTAAGCAAGTGCTTACCTAACAAATTCATTTGACTATCCTTATATATATTATATATATCGTTATATCCTTATACATCCTAATTAATCCTTATATCATTTATATAATGACCACGTCATTATTATATGATTTATTTACAATTAAATCATTGTAAAAGACAACAAATTTCTATGCTTTTTTGTCAAGAGTATTCGGTTGTCGCACCTTGTACCTATCCCATCTCCAGTTATTCTCTATTTTAACACGGTGTGACAACGGCCTTCGACATCCATGAAGAACCCGGACAGCTAGCCGAATATTGTCGGCAACAATACATTCAGTGTAATCCGAGAAGTTTATCGTTTTCTTCTTTTTGTCTTACGACATATCCTTATAAATCCTGCAACTTGATGTATCTGCATGAAGTGTGGATACTCTTAACTTTATTTTCAGAATGACCCCCAGCCATAAGATATCCTTGTCAAAAAGGTTTTAACTTGTAAAATTGTGTTCAACTAATACAAAACCGTCAGCTATGACAAATAAAAGTAGTACAAATGGCTAGTTAGTGTATCAAAGTAGTTATATTGTGAAGATAGATACAATAGTTTAGATATAATTAGAAATAAGTATTTCGGAGAAAATTTCAATAATTGTCAGAAAAACTGCTAGATGTACAAGCCAAATGGTTTAATTATGTTATGCAATAAAATAAAACAAAGAGATAGAAATAAATTATAAAAGTTTAAGAGACAAGATGTAATGTGAAGCCGAAGAAATGTCTAAAAAAGGAAGTGAATTATAGACACAAGATCACAAGAATCATAAAGG